GGTGGTGGGGGTGGTGGGGGCAGTGGCTGTTGCAGGCGGTATCTCTGGGTGCTCAGTCTCCGTGGCATCATGTGGGAATAGGGCTGTGAGAGGTAGATAGGTTAGACGGTGTGCCCGACTCCCATGGCCCCAAAGCCTGGGGGGGAGCAGTGGGGAGAGGCATGGCACTCACCACACCAAAGGACAGCTCTTGGTGCAGGGGATCGTGGGGCAGGTAGTGCAGGGGCACAGACGGGGACAGGGCTGGGCCTGGGGCAGAGGTGGAATAGGTGAAGCTTCCCAGAGGGTACTGATCCCCTCGAAGGTCCACATCATTGTCCAGCCGCTGCAGGGGCTGGAAGAGGCAGGGGTGGGTCAGCTGAAGTCAGTGACAGGGAAGCCCCTGCTCCCATGCCACCTCCTCTAGCATCGGCCCCATCGCGCAGACTCACCATACGCGGGTGCTGGGTCTGCAGTGATATAAACTGCCCCAGAGGCGCCATGTGGGTAGGCTGGGGGTGTGGGGCTGGCGGTGGGGGGTGCAGGATGTAGTGGTCACTGGAGATGAGGTGGGGGTAGGCCTGATAGGGCACAGGGAGCTGCTGCATGGTACACGCCTGGATCAGCTGCTGAGAGATGGGGCAGGAACTAGAACATGTTCTTCTGGGCTGGACCTATGGTTGTGACGTGGGCCAGGGGCCACCCCATTCAGCAACAGGTCCCCACTAAAGCCCCCTGGACTGACCGCCCCATCCCTGGCCTAGGCCATCCAGGCAGGACACCACACTCTTAAGGCCCAGTTACCACCCCAAATGGGCTCTGCTGGGAGGCTAGGTGCAGCATTTGGGGCTCCCACTGGCAGGCAATGGGTGTATAGGGCTATGGCCTGGAACCCAGGAGGCGCTCTGACAACCTGGATGGGTGTCATAAGCTTGGTAGTTCTGCCACTGGCCTATGCTGGCCCTTCTGGTGGGGATGGGGGTGTGGGGGTGAGAGGTGGAGGCCCTCACTCACCGGGGGCGGGAGGCAGCAGAGCGGGTAGTGCTGCCCACTGAACATCACGGAGCATGCTGGGAGCTGTTGGGCACTGCAGCCAGGGATGTGCTGGCCTGAAGGCAAAGGGAAGCCTTGGGTCGTCACTGTGGTGACTGTGTAGGACAGAGGGACGGGTCCCTGGTGTACCTGTGGGTGGAGAGAGGCCCGGGAATTGCAGGGAGGAAACCTGGCCATGAGATGCTGCCCTCAGGTGAGAAAGTCCTGCCGGGCCAACCTCCCTCCCTTCTCTAGCTGGGGCCTACCTAGGTTCAGACCTGGACGCCCTCTCCTGGCCTCAAGTCCCAAAGGGCAGAGAGGACCCTCTGGGAGCCTGGGAGGGGCTTCCAGCTCTACCACTCATGCACTGTGTGTCCTCAGGGAAGGCCCTTCCATTCTCTGGGCCTCAATTTACCAACCTATAAAGCACGGCTAATAATGGCTCCCTAAATACGCAATGAGTTAAGCAGGGTGAAATCAGGGCTCTGTCACTTCTGTTTCACAGATGGGCTTGCCAGAGGCCGGGGCGTTAGATAGGGGTGTTCTGCCTACCTGCTCGTGGAGATCAACCATGAACGGGCTCTGTTGGGAGGCTGGGTGCAGCATTCGGGGGCTCCCGCCGGCAGGAGCCGAGGCTCGGCGCTCCTCTACAAGGAGGTGTGGTGCTCGGGGCGGAGGCTGCTGGGAGGGTAAGTGCTCATCCTGGGCAGGCAGGAGGCCCTCATGGCCAGGGCTGCACCACAGAGAGGAGGCCCAGGTAGGACTGAGGGGGGATACTCATTCACAGAGCATGGAGAGAAGTGAAGGTCACTACCCATTGGGGAAGGAAGAAAGCTCAGGGCATGTGTCCCGCCACCCTTGGCCCCTGTGCCCCAACCCAAGCTGACAGCCCCAGCACCAGGAGCTCCAGGGGCTGCAGGACTGGGAGGTTCCTTCCTACCTTCCCCGGAGCAGGGCAGGGGTGCTGCCAGGTCCTGCAGACAATCGCCGCTGACTCACAGGGGTGGAGGGTGGCCACCTAGTCACTGCCAGAGCCCATGGTTGCATCAGGGGTGGCAGAGGGGTGGAGGGGCTGGGCTGGGGCTCACAACCCTAGGAGTCAAAAAGACAAAGAAACTGAAGCACAGAGTAACCCAGACACTTGCCCCATTAGGGGTCCAGGAGACAGAATCAAACCCCTGCTTTTTGATTCTGGGGCAGGCGATGTCTGCCCCCACTCCCACCCTGTGCGTCCTGTGCACATGCACTCTGTCTGGTTCTGGCCCTCTTCTTGTCACTGGGGCTCAGGGCTGAGACCGGGGATAGGCTTGGCCTACTGAAAGCCCAGGCCTCAGTCTTCTGCTCTACAAAATGGGACTGAGCTCCCTTAGGGTTGTAGAAGTTTTAGAGAGCTGGCCAGCAAGCTTCTGAGCCAGATGGCTCCAGTAAGGCTCCCTTAGTGTAGGGACCTCAGGGCACACTCCAGTGTGAGGGTCTACAGCTCTGGCCTCCAGGCAGGTAGGGTTCCTGGGGGGACTCCAGCTTCCTCCCTTCCATCTGGTTGGCTCAGGGGGATTCCAATCAGGGTTGGGGCCCAGTTTTCCTTCCACTATTGCCAGGTAAGAGTTTCTAACCCAGTTCCTGCCCTCGGGGGCTCCTAGTCCAAGGCAAGTCTGTCCCCAGGTGACAAAGTCCTAGTGGGCCACCTCCCTTCCTTCTCTAGCTGAGGCCTATCGTAGGTAGAGACCTGGTTGTACCTTTGTTTCTTTCCATAACCCATTCCCACAGTGACTACCCATGTATGACTTCATCTATTCTTCAAAAAAGATATAGTTGGCTCCATATTACAGAAGAGAAAACTGAGGCTCAGAGAGAAAGGGACTTGCCCAAGAGTCAAAAGCTGGGAGGTGGGCTGACCACAAGCCTTTCACTGCACCCTGCTGCCGAAGGGAGCAGTCCAGCCCAGGGGCTTCCCAGGAGGTGTTAAAGGAAGCCAGCCACCTTGGTTGGTCAGGTAGGTCTGAAATGCAGCCAGGCGCTTGTTCTGGGGGCCCCACCAAGTGGAAGGTGGGGCTTGTTGAGAAAAAAGGGGAAGCCAGAACCAAAAGGAGGAAGTTATGCAGGAATGGGGTGTGGCAGGTCTCTTCCCTCCCTGGGGGTTCAGGTGGGACAAGTTGGGGGGACTACTTATTAACTCCAGAGGTTGGGATGAGGCCCTGGCAGGGAAAGCTCTGAAATGTCAGGCCCCTAAAGCTGAAGGCCTTTCCTGTTCCTGTCACACGGAGGCCCTCACTGCTCTGCTCCTTCTCCAGTTGACAAAATTCCTAGGCATCCTTGATACCCAACTTTAAGTGTCACCTCCCTGTTGACACAGCCAGGAGGCGGTATACTGTCCCCTCAGCACCGTTCCTTCCTGCCAACAGTGGCAAAAACATTTCCTTTGTGCTGGTCTTTGAAGCCTAGGCCCTGACTCTCAAAATGAGCTTGCAAGGGAGGCTCTTCTCCAGCTGACAGGACACTGTCCTGCCAAAGGCAGTCAGGAAGCGGAAGCTGGAATTCACACCTGTCCTGCCCAACCCAGTTGGCAGAGGGGTGGGCAGGCCCAGTGTGGCAATGCATACTGGAGAATCAATCACTCAGGGCCAAAGCCAGTCTGTTGTAGTGGTTAGTGTCAATGATTCAAAATTGGGAGACTACATACAAATCTGGCCTTTGGAGGAGAGGGGGTCAGACAATCTGGCTCCACTGGGCCCTCATTTCCACTTGGCTCCCCTTACTTGGAGCATGAGCCACCCCAGGACTACTCCCCAATTGCCCGCCATAGGTGACTGGGTTTGTGATCCCTGGTGTGGGCCAAGCACACATCCTTACACATGCATGTAAAAACACAGCTTCCCTGATTCCTGCTGACAATCCAGCCTAGCAAATAAAAGCCAAGAAAGACTCAGAGGAAACCTTTGAGTAACTGAAACAACAGACTCCTGGCCAAGCCCAGACCTCCTGGATCAGAATCTTTACAGGGTTGGGCAACAATGGCACCTAGATTTTTTAACCAAATTTTCCAGCAGTTTCTATAGCACAGTCAGGTTTGGGAACCTCTGCTCTAACTGACGTCAGAGATCCTGGGAACTCACAATCCTAATGATGAAGAATAGTAACAACAACTACAGTACTTCCCATATGCCATATTGATGAGTCCTATAGCGACCCTTGGATATAGGCACAGTGAGGCTCAAAGAGGCGAGGTCCAAGGCCAGTCAGCTGAACTTGTAAGTGTACTGGGACACGACCCAGGCAGTGGCCTCAACCACTACTCTTGTGCAAGGCTGTCTTGCTGAAATCTGGGCAGCATCAGGGCTCAGGGGGTGGACCCCACAGAGGCCAGGCTCATGGGAATCTGTTCTGTGGTCAGCCCCTCAAAGACACCCACTTCTCTGGAAAGGGAAGTAATAAGGAGCTGAGAACCCAAAACAGCAGATGGAAGGGGCTTCAGCTATGGACAATGGTGAAAAGATGACAGTGTTGACCCCTACATTCTCACACATGACACCCTGACTTCTGGCCAGAGTCTTGGGCACATCATTTCCCCTCTCTGAGTCTCAGCTTCTTTATCTGTAAAATGGGAACAGCCCAATGACCACCTCCCAGTAGACTGGCAAGGACTGCTCACAGGTCCTGGTAAGAGTGGTCTGTAAAGCTTAGGTGTTTACAATCACTGATAGAAAATAAGAGAGGCTGACCTCCACCCCTACCCTCCAAGCAGAAATCAGGGGTCACTTCAAGCTCTGCAGGCAGTAGCTCCGAAATATGCCTGCCTAGGGAATGTCCCAGCTGGCAAGGGAGAGGTGCTTGATTCCTGAAGTCCTACTAGGAACAGAGGTAGCAAAGAGGGGACACACCCACTTCATAGTTGAAACTGAGACCCAAAGAAAGCAAGTAACTTGCTCTAGACTACAAAGCCAGAGAGGGACAAAACTGGTCATGGCTGGGCCCCTGGGCCCAGATTCTTCCAACTCCTGACTCTCACTAACATTAACAAACCTAAGAAACACTTAATCCCAACTCTGTATTCCAGGCCCTAAAGGAGATCAGGAGAGCTTTCTTGAAGTCGCCTGCGACTCACCCTACTGTGGAGAGAGAGAGTCAAGGGAGACTCAGACTTAGAGCTAGCAACTTGCTCAAGGTCAAAGAACAGAGTTGGCCACCTGGTAGCTGCTCTGCCTTTCCACACTCCTCTGTGCTGTCCTCTCAATGAGGTCTGTGTAAATGGATCTTGAGGGTCCCAGCCCTAAATCCAATCTTGCCTGGAAGCAGGCACCCTACCTTGCATCCATGCTCACCTCCTACTTCCCATGCCCCAGCAGTTACCCCTATCTGGGTCTAGGGAGTCCCTTCCATGTCATGTCACTTGGGCCCAGGTGCTGTTTTGCAGATAAGCAAAGCATGAGTTAGCTAAGCAGGATGAGAAACCCATTCCCTTCTCTCCCTCACCCCCCCAAAACAGGCAGGCCAGAATAGCCAGACTTGGAACCAGGAGTCAGTCCTTGCTTGGCCAGCCGGGACTCCCTGGGTGACCTTGCTCAAGGAAATCTCTTGCTTCTATGGGCCTCAGTTGCCACAACTGTAAAAGCGGGATGGAAATCTCTCCTTCCCAGAGCGCTCAAATGAAACCAGAGGACACAGACGCAAGAATCGAGGTGGTCACATCAGTGGGGTAGAAAACCAGTGTTCCCTCCTCAACGCGGTCCAGGTACAGACTGCGGGGCTACGGGAAGTTTCCTCAGCTACCTCTCCCAGGGGATGAGATGCCAAGGTGTGGACACCCGCCCGGAGAGGGGCCTCCCTCGTCCCCATCTCACTGCTTTGTGCCGCGCTCGGAAGGACAAGGGAGGCGGGAGGCCAAACTGCGGCGTCTGAGCAAGAGCGCTGTGACTTTAAGAGTCGAGGATCCCGGACCATGTGCTCCGCGTGAGACAAAAGCAACAACAAAGGAAGTGGCGGCGGCGGCGGCAGGGGGAGGGGGCGGCTCCTTCCTCTCCAACCGCAGCGCTCAGACTCCGGAGAAGGGAGACTCGCCCAGGCATTGGGGGGTCTCTGGGAGGGGGTGTCTCTGATCCTAGAGGTCTCACCGCCCCCCTCCGGACCGCCGGTGATTAACCCCTGCGGAGCCAGCTATATATATCACAGCCCCCAGTCCCAGGGGAGGGGGCAGCAGTTTCCAGGGATGCGGAAATCGGGAGCTGGGGGCTCTGGCCCCGACTCACCTTCAGCCGCCTGGACACACGTTGATTCCTTTGTTCCCGATCTAGGGCAGCCAAGCTGGGCAAGGGGTGGTGGTGGTGGTGGGGGGGGCTGCCCGGACCCTTTAAGAGCCCCCGCCCTGCGGAACAATATGCTCCCCTCCCCACCCCCCGATCCGGGGGCAGTCCGGCTCCTTCCGGGGCCCTCTCTCTTTGTTGTCTGTCCGCTGGCGTCTACCTCGCGAGGCCCACGCGCGCTCAGCCTCTCTCGGCCCAGGCCCTCCGGCAGCGGGAGGCGGCGCAGGACGCGGACAGGTTTGCGCAGCTGCCCGCGGCTGGCCCTTTAAGAACTGTCCGCGGCGCCAGCGGAATGTAACAAACCCAACATTTGATTCACAACATTCGAAGCGGCGGGGTCGCGCGCCGGGCGGGAGGGGGCCTCGCGGGGGCGCGCCGGGAGGTTCGGGCAAACAGTAGCAGGCAGCAGCCCGCGTCAGCCCCGCCCCACGCTAAGAGCTCCGCCCCACGGGGGCCGGGAGAATCAATCACTCGCTGAAACTAGGCACGTGATTAATGGACCGCCATCTTGGTAGGTTAAAAAAAAATACCCTCCTTGCTCCCACCTTCGCACTTAAAGGGACCGCAGCCATTATTGGCAAGGGGCGGGGCCACATGGCTGGACTTAAAGAGGGAGACTCCGAGGTGGGCAAGACCAATCAGCTGCAATTTAAACTTGCTATGCAAACTCGCGAGCCACTCACCCCTCTGAGGCTCAGTTTCTTTGCCGGAGAAATGGGTCCCGCCGACAGAACCGAAGCCCGGACTTACTATGTCATGGTTCCCACCTTAGAGACAGGGCAACACCTGGGATACTGAAGTACAGTGGGGCCGATCTTCGACCAGGCTAGGGTGTCCTCTTAGGCCAGCCCGAGTGGTGAGGAAAGCTCTAACAGCCCTGGGCCGACAACCTCCCCAGATATGACGTCAGCCCCAAGAGCTACTGTGCTGCGATGACATCATGGTCTGGCTTCCCTGCATCTCCTTGTTCAAATTACGCGGCGGCTTTAAAAAGCTGGGACGCCCTGGATTTGCCTAACGGACCAATAGCGAGCAGCCCATGCAAATAAGTTATCGCCTGATCTGCAGGGGGATTGGTCCTGTTGACGCTGACATCACAGAGACATTTTAAGCGGCCCGCCCCCAGCACGGCCAGGGAAAGGGGCGGGTAACAATCTGAAGCTAGAGCAGCAGTCTTTTGGCGCTCCAGCTGCTTCTTGCCTAGGGAATTGGGTAACTAAGCCCAATGAAGTTTAGTTTTCTACTGTACTCCCAGCAGCTGGCTATGCGACAGAGGGATTTCTGCAACCTGCCCATTTTACAGATGGGTAGGTGATCAACAGGGGTGTCACTGACCCCAGGTCACACAGCCAGGGAAGTGTGGCTAAGCAGGTGTTTAAACCTAAGCCAAAGCCAAGCTTCCTCCTTTGACTGGATGCCTTTCCAGGAAGACATACAAAGTGGGATATTATCTCCATATTGATTATTTAAGCAAAAAAATCACTAATACCCTAAATATCCAAGAGCTGGGAGCAGGCACAATAAAGAATGGTGTATAAAAGAAAAAAGATAAAACAAAACAACAAAAAAGAATGGTGTATGTATATAATCAATAACTGACTCTCCTGTATGGTGCTGCACTGACATAGGGCTACCTCCAAGACAGCCCTAAGAGATGCCAGAGCAAAATGTTAACGTGTGGTGGGC